GGCAAAAAGATAATATTGGGTGCAACTCAATTAACAATCGTCTTACTCAGGAACAGAAATTTTGGTCCCAATTATTGTCATAAGTTGAGGACCTACCTGTAATTTTGTGATGGGGAGTGACTACAGCAATATTCCCCAATATGGTACCTCCCGGCTGCATTCTATTTAAGCTTCCCAGAATTCCCTACATCTGGGAATGGATTCCAACATAAGTAAGTAAATCAATAAATGAATACAGGCACATCTCATTTTATTGTGCTTTGCTTTATGCACTGAAGGCTCAAATGACGAATACTATTTTCAGCACTGAAGTATTTTTAATTAAGGTATGTACTTCCATTCATAAAAGTACATTGGCTTTTTTTTAAAGACACAAATTAACGGACTACAGAATGGTGCAAATGTAATTTTTATATGCACTGTGCAACAAAAAAATGTGTATTCCGATTTTCTTTCTATTCTCTTTCCCCATCCAGGCACAAAATTGATAATAAAAGATAACTAATTCCTTCTGAATGCATTGAACGCTTTAATACCCAAAGGGACTGACAAATTAACCTGTTGCCAAAGAAAACAATAGTGACTCTTTGGGTATTTAAAGATTGAAAAATGATTTTTGGAAAAAGTCAGGGGCTAAAGCAGGGGTGTCCTGCTAAAGCATCCTTCCTACTCAACTTCCTGGTCTCCAGAACCCCAAATTTAGAGTTCATGCAATCCAAATTCCTCAAGAGTCCTGAAAAAAGTCTTATACAGCGATGAACACAGCTACAGAAAGGACCCACCTCCTACTAATTTCTCCTTACCTGAGTCTTGACGTGTTGATCCGGTGCAGTCACCAAACTGGCGCAACTCAGCCAGAGCATCACCATGATGGAAAGGAAGAGACAAGCAGCCAGAATCCAGCGGGGCAGCCCTGAACGCCTATAACACCCAAAAGCAGCCCCCACACCCACCAAAGAGAGGCCACAAAATTACCATGGACAGATGGGGAGCAGGCTTCAAAGTATCCATATATACATGTGTACAACCAGTTTTGCTAGTAATTAAAATGTTGGCCTAGAAACCAGGAAACAGTGAGTTCTAATTCCACCTTATGCACAAAAGTTGGCTGGGTGACTTTGGGCCAATCACCAGGAGACAGTGAATTCTAGTCCTGTCTTATGCACAAAAGCTGGCTGGGTGATTTTGGGCCAATCACTCTCTCAGTCAAACCCTCTTCACAGGGTTGTTGTTGTGGGGAAAATAGGAGGAAGGTGTATTAGGAATATTCACTGCCTTGATATATTTATGAAGTTATGAAGGCCAATAAAAATTTCATACATCTACACACGGATGAAGATTTTTGCCCTATTTCTGAGTACTGATTAATGGTTGTTTTTTTAATTTGTACTTCTGCCAATGTTTCATTCTTTATTGTCTAACATTTCACAGAGCTCTTATTGTTTAATTGGGGATATGACCAGGGATATCTGAAGGGAAAGATCAGAAAGTGAAGACGGTGACAGCAACAATGGAATTGAAGCTCTGCCTGTTTTTTAATCCACTGATACATATTAAAAAATACAGATGGAGCTTCCGTCATACTGTCAGAGCTATTAACTTAAGTATTTAATTTTTAAAAAGATAATATTTCTCAACAATACAAAAGATGAACTAAATTACAACCAATAAAGAAACAATAAAAATAAAGAGAACAAATAAATGAAAAAAGTTAAACAGAAAAAGAAGAAAACAATAGCCCAAAGAAAGAAATTACTGGTGTCAGTCCTCCAATATAGACTAAGCTAGAAAACCAAAGACCTGCGGGCCAACATTGCTTTTATTTTAAAGTTATAGTACAGATAGTCCTTGACTTACAACCATTCATTCAGTGACCATTCAAAGTTACAATGACACTGGAAAAAAGTGACTTATGACTGCTTTTTACACTTATGTGATGCAGCTATGGTCACATAATGAAAACACGATCCCTAAATGAATATTTGTAAGTCAAAGACTACCTGTATGAACTTAAATGTAGAGGGGGGGAAAAACAAAGGATAAAAAGAAGGGAATTTTTACATTTTCCTCAAGCCAAATGCAGATGTTTGGATTACCCTGCCACCAGGATCAGCTTCGCCCACAATTTGTCTTGCATCTGATCCAATCCAAATACAATTTTATTCCCCAACTTTCTCAGTTTCCCTCCCTTCCTAATTTCTAAACCACATGATTAAAAAAAAACCCCAGAGCGGTATATTACTTGGACATGCAGCCCAGGAAATCATGTTCCAGAGGCATCTGAGACTCCCCCACAGGCTGAGCTGCGGCTGGGGCTGGGCTCTTGGGCTCTTCGATGGGAGGTTTTTCCAATTTCTCTTGAAGGCCTGAAAAGAAAAGGAATAAGAAACGAGAATAAAAGGGAAATAAGACAAGTGGGTTACAAAGAGCTCAGGCCAAGCACCAGCAAGTGTATTTATTTAGCAATAGCAATAACACTTAAGAGTTATATACCGCTTCACAGTGCTTTACAGCCCTCCCTAAGCGGGTTAAAGAGTCAGCCTATCGCCCCCCAAAATCTGGCTTCTCATTTTACCCACCTCAGAAGGATGGAAGGTTGAGTCAGCCTTGAGCCAGTGAGACTCAAACTATAGACCTGCTGGCAGTGGCAGTCTGCAATACCGCTTTCTAACCACTGCGCCACCACGGCTAGCTTTATTTTATTTTAGTTTTATTTTTTATTTATTTCATTTTATTTCTTTATTATTTTATTTAATATTTTATTCTTTATTATTTTATTTTATTTATTGGCATCTTAAGTGCCACCGTGGCACAGTGGTTAGAGTGCAGGACTGCAGGCTAATTCTGCTGACTGCCGGCTGCCAGCAGTTTGGCAGTTCAAATCTCACTAGGCTCAAGGTTGACTCAGTTTTCCATCCTTCCGAGCAGTGGTGGGGTTCAATTTTTTTTATTACTGGTTCTGTGGGCGTGACTTGGTAGGTGTGGTTTGGTGGACGTGGCAGGGGAAGGATACTGCAAAATCCCATTCCCTCCCCACCCCACTAACCTGCTTTCCAGCTCCATTCTCCAGGGCAACAAAAGAAGACCCAGTCGATCTGCTGGGACTCAAGAGGCAGAGAATAGATAGGGACAGGGCCAGTCAGAGGTGGTATTTGCCGGTTCTCTGAACAACTCAAAATTTCCGCTACCGGTTCTCCAGAACTGGTCAGAACCTGCTGAATACCACCTTTGCTTCCGAGGTAGGTAAAATGAGGGCCCAGATTGTTGGGGGCAATAGGCTGACTCTGTAAGGGGCAATAGGCTGACTTACAGAGGGCTGTAAAGCACTGTGAAGCGGTATATAAGTCTAAGTGCTATTGCTATCTTACCATAGGGTAATTCTGGGAAGCTTACAGTTACATCTTAGTTAAAATAAAAATGTTAAAATCAGTCTATACATCTTAAAGGTGCCATAGTTGAGAAATGCTGCTTTAGAGAGAGTCAATAACCACCAAGAGTCATAGAAATCACTGTGAACCCACTGATTTTGCAGTCGGCTTTTAAAAAGAGTTTAAATTGGTATCTCCATCATCTTTGGTGGTGGCACATGTCACAGTTTAAATCTGCCAGGGATACAATCAAGGTCAAACGAGGTACTAATACCACTCCATAAAGCTTTAGTAAGACCACACCTAGAGTACTGCATCCAGTTTTGGTCACCACACTATAAAAAAGATGTTGAGACTCTAGAAAAAGTGCAGAGAAGAGCAACCAGGATGATGAGGGGACTGGAGGCAATTTGATTAATGGTTGCAGGAACTGGGAATGTTTAGTCTAATGAAGAGAAGGACTAGGACAGGGGTATTCAAACTGGACAGCTTTAAGACTTGAGGACTTCAATTCCCACAATTCTTCCTCCATACATGTTAGCTTAGGAATTCTGGGAGTTGAAGTCCACAAGTCTTAAACTTGCCAAGTTTGAAGACCCTTGGACTAGGGGGTGACATGATAGCAGTGTTTCAATATTTGAAGGGCTGCCACAGAGAGGAAGGGGTCAAGCTGTTTTCCAAAGCACCTAAAGGCCAGACCAGGAATAATGGATGGAAACTGAACAAAGAGAGATTCAACATAGAAATAAGGAGAAATTTTCTGATGGTGAGAGCAATCAACCAATGGAACAGAAGTTGCCCTCAGAAGTTGTGGGAGCTTCGTCACTGGAAGCTTTCAAGAAGAGATTGGACTGCATCTGTCAAAAATAGTGTAGGGTCTGCTTGGGCAGTGGGTTGGACTAGATGATGTACAAGGTCCCTTCTCTGTTAATCTGTATCTAATCTGTACCCTGAGTCCTCATATTACCTGTGTGTGGCTTCAAGGTGTTGGGGGCCGAGACTGTCCAGGTCTTCTCCGAAACCTCTGATTTGGGTGCCTGGGCCTCAGGAATTGGATACTCCACTTCTGGTTGCGACTGTCAAAGAAAGATAGAAAGGCTCTCAAGCATTCGGGAAGATCTTCCGCATCTGCTGCACCTTGTTGAAGGAGAACTGGTGAGGGGGTCCCAGGCAAACATATCATATAAACCATGTACCAGATCACATGTTCCTGCAGCTTTAAGGACCACGTCTTCTGGAAGCTTAAACCTGAAGTGGACAGCTACATTTGACTCAAAGGATGGACTAGGTTAAGTTTGGCATCCCGCAGGTTGCACTCCCAAGGCGGGAAATGACCAGTGGCTTAGCAACCAAGTTCTGAAGGACTCACCTGGGGTATGTATGACCTAGATTTGAAGTTTTGACAGTCGGGACGAATCTGACCACATTTATGGCTGTTTGCAGACTCCCACATTCACATGATCACGTTCTACGATAGTTTTTGCCAGAAACTGGCATTCCCTTTTAGTTTTCAGCAAAACCACCTCTATAGTGAACCATCGGTTTCCTTAATGATCATCACAAAAAGACCTTAAAATTGTGTCAGTCACATGACCAACCCATTCATTTTATGCGCATCACAAGTTATGGCTCTGATTGCAGGCTCCATTATGGTCCTAACTTGAGGACTACCCGTATCTTCACCATCTGCAACTTGAAAGGTACTCACTCTGCCTTGAAATCTCACAGCTCCATCCACACAGGAGAAAAGTGGACTTCAGTTTTTCCACTCTTTGGGCCATAAACAGAAGGTCTATGAGTCACCAGGAGTGGAGCTCAGTTTAGCTCGCCACAACCATCTTGTTGTGGCTAACTTGCTGACAATTCCACATTGGATAACTCAGCAAAATATTATCTACCCGTATCATCTGCCATTTTTATGTCCCATTTTTTTATGGAAATGTTCAGTTCAAAGAAGGCTTTTAAATTAATGAATCATTTTGATTTTAATCTGCTTTGGTCACAGCAGGTGGCAGCACCTAACCAATGTTGTATGATCTTAAGGACTACACTGGGTTGGACCTGGTTTGTACTGGATAAGAGACCACTAAGAAATCTCAGGGGTCTAGGCTAGACTGGAAAGACAGAAAAAAACATGCCCAAAGAGACACATGTAAACTTATTCCATGAGTCCTCACAATTCTATAGAAAGGGAGGGAGGGAGGGAGGGAGGGAGGGAGGGAGGGAGGGAGGAAGGAAGGAAGGAAGGAAGGAAGGAAGGAAGGAAGGAAGGAAGGAAGGAAGGAAGGAAGGAAGGAAGGAAGGAAGGAAGGAAGGATCCACATAATCATGTAGCTTTTATTTTTACATAAATGTGGTTCTGTTAGTTGTATTAGTTGTAAGTGCTATGAAATAAAATTTTAATTAGAGGGAAATCACTCTTGCCAGAGATCTGAATAGGTTAGGTTTAGCAATGTGTCAACATCTGTACCTGTACAACAAATTCAGTTTGGTTGATATTAATCCTGAGTTAGGTTATTTTTGTTTTCTTTGTTTAACGTGTTGCACAAATCAAGATCATTCAGTTAATCAGCTTATGGTTCAACATTGTGTGCTAAATCATCAACTTCTTTTAATGACCCCATAATCCCTTGCGGGATGGAGTCTGGGCAACTGAATGGATCTGAATGTTTACTGGCCGCATGCCCTCCCTGTCGCCAATGCAGAGTTTTGTTCAGCAGATTAATTGTCATTGTGCCCAGAGAGAAAAATATTTGCCTCTACTTAGGATCGAACTCACAGCCTCCCGATTGTGAGGCAAGAGCGTCACCTCTAGGCCACCGCACCACTCATTCTGTACTAAATAATGCAGGTTAAATCAGTAACAAAATGTATTCATTTATTTATTTTACTTATTTATTTTATTTGGTTTGTCAATTGCTTACAAGATAATAGGTATAAGTAAAAACATAGTTATGAATACATGGATACATATAAGAAAAATAAAAGAAACAATAGGACAGGGACGGTAGGCACTTTGTTGCGCTTATGCACACCCCCTACAGGCCTCTTAGGAAAGGGGTGAGGTCAATAGTAGAAAGTCTAAAGTTAAAGTTTTTGGGGTTTGGGGAAGAAACCACAGAGTCAGGTAGAGTATTCCAGACATTGACCACTCTGTTGCTGAAGTTGTATTTCCTGCAATCAAGTTTGGTGCAATTAACCTTGAGTTTGTATCTATTGTTTGCTCTTCTATTGTTATGGTTGAAGCTGAAGTATTCGTTGACAGGTAGGACATTGCAATGTATGATTTTATATACTATACTTAGATGGGACCGAAGGCGGCATAGTTCTAGATTTTCTAGGTCTACAATTTCAAGTCTGGTGGCATAAGGTATTCTGCAAGAGAGTACAGGAGTGGAGAACTCTTCTTGTGCAATATTTCTGGACTTTCTCAACTGTGTTAATATCAGATACGTAATGTGGGTTCCAGACTGATGAGCTGTATTTGAGTATTGGTCTAGCAAATGTTTTGTATGCTCTACTTAGTAGTGTAATATTACCAGAGAAAAAGCTACGTAAAATTAGGTTAACAACTCCTAATGCCTTTTTGGCTATGTAGTTACAGTGGGCTCTAGCACTTAGATCAATAGAGATGAGTACTCCAAGATCCTTGACAGAGTTTAAGAAATGTAATGCAAACGCAGAACAGAATTCTAATCAATTAAAAAGAGCCCCTCCCATTAATTCCTTTCTGATTTAGGTTTCTCCTATACCAGTGGTGGCTAACCTTTTGGGGCTCCTGTGCCAAAAATTGTGTGCACGCTTGCGCACACACTTGCATGCCAGCACCCAGAAGGCAATGTGCACACACCCCGCCCCCTGCACATGTGCGCACAATCCCCCCTGCCGCCACCCCTTACATGCACTGTGCCTCACAGCTGATATTTGGCCAGTTTGAGGCCTTTTTGGCCTCCCAGAGGCTTGAAAAAAGCCTCTGAAGGCTTTGCAGGCCAAATAATAGGCCCGTTTTGTCACTTCCTATAATACCGGAAGTGACGAAACAGACCTATTATTTGGCCTGCAAAGCCTGCAGAGGCTTTTTTCAAGCCTCTGGGAGGCCAAAAGGGCCTCAAACCAGACAAAAATCATTTCTGAGGCGCATGCATGTGCAGTGAGGTAAATTTGCATGCGGCTCGCACAAATGACTCTGCGTACCACCTGTGGCATGCGTGTCATACGTTCGCCACCACGGTCCTATACTATTCCTTCCCTAAATCTCCTCCCCCACAACTTTTGCCGCGACTTACCTGAAACACGACTACTTTTCCATCATCTGCCTGCAGATAGAAGGTCCATGTGGAAGAAATAAAACTCTGAGCAGAGCTGACAATATCATTGCAGAAACTGGAGACCAGGTCAAAGACGGAGAAGGAGGCTGGTTTCTCATCTTGGATCTATTAAATTACAAAATGAAATTAGCACGGTTGAACTGATTCCTTCCTTCTCACTTGGGCCCATGAAATTGAGAAGAGCCACTTAAACGGTTGGCTTTTGGTGAGAATAAATAGAATTCAGATGATCAGGTCTGGAAAATGTGGCCTCGGTAGTGGGAAAAGGTAACTCAGCCACTTAACTCTGACATGATATTTTCAGATAAATGTACAGGTCGTTCTTGACTTACAACAGTTCGCTTAGTGACCGTTCAAAATTACAACAAATTAGACTGTGAAAAAAAAGTGACTTATGACCATTCATCACATTTATAACCCCATGGTTGCAGCATCTCTATGGCCACATGATCAAAATTGAGACACTTGGCAACTGACTCTTATTTATGATGGTTGCAGTGTCCTGGGGTCATGTGATCCCCTTTTCTGACAAGCAAAGTCAATGGGGAAGCCAGATTCATTGAACAACTGTGTTACTAAACTTGGCAACTGCAGTGATTCACTCAACGTCCATGACTAGAAAAGGTCATAAAATGGGGCAAAACTCACTTAACAACTGTCTCGCTTAGCAATGGAAATTTGGGGTTCAATTAGAGTTGTAAGTTGAGGACGACCTGTACAAGTGAGGAGGAAAAGCGGGAGTACAGAATAGTCCTCGACTTACAGCCATTCAATCTGTCAAAGTTACAACGGCACTGAAAAAAGTCTCTTATGACTGACTTTCACACTAATGGCTCTTGTATTTTCCCATGGCCACATGATCAAAATCCAGGTGCTTGACAACTGGCATGTGTTTATGACCGCTGCACTGTCCCACGGTCACATGATCACCAACAGGGGTGGGCTTCAAAAATTTTAGCAAAGAGTTATCTGCCTGGTTGCTGGGTGGGCGTGGCCTAGTCGGCCTCCTGCACCATAGCCACAGCCACCACAGTTTTTGCCCTCCGCGCACTCCGGAGGCTTTCCTCAAGTCTCCAGGAGGGTGAAAACAGGCTCGCCGGGCTCCCGAGGCTCCCTGGAAGCTGGAAACGGGCCCATTTCTGGCCTTCCAAAACTTCCGGGAGGCCCATTTTTGCCCTCCCTGAGCCTCCACGTGCACCCTGCACTTAACTGCATCCAAAACAGGCTGCGTGGGGAATTCTGGGAGGGGAGGGATGGGCGGGGCCAGCCAGGAGTGAGATTTGGGGATTCTCTGAACTGCACAGAATCTTAGCTGGCGGGATCTCCCGAACCCCTGTGAAGCTCCAGCAGCCCACTCCTGATCACGAACCTTTCCAGCTGACTCCTGACAAGCAAAGTCAACGGGGGAAGCCTGATTCATTTAACAGCTGCATAATTCACTTAACAACTGCAGTGATTCATTTAATAACTGTAGGGGGGGAAGGTCATAGAATGAGGAGAAACTGTCTTGCTTAGCAATTTTGGGCTCCACTGTGGTCTTAGGTTGAGAACTACATGTATCCTTAGCTAGCCCAAGACTCTTAAATGGCTCAGTAGGAAGTACTCCGAAAAGGAGGGTCAGTAAACCTGGTCAATCATCTTTAAGAAGTTAGACCTAACAGATCTAAGAGTTGGAAGGGACCTTGTAGGACATCTAGTCCAACCCTGCGCCCACGCAGGAGACCCTACACCACTTCTGACAGATGGCAGTCCAGTCTCTTCTTGGAAGACTCCATCTAATTAGGCCCATCCAAGTAGCTGTGTTACAAGAAGAGGAATCCCTTGACAACAGACCCATTCCTCTTACCAGTTTTGGAGGGGGAAAAAAATGAAGGGAAAATAGCTAATAAGGAATGTTGTTTAAAATCTCACTGGCAAAGTCTGACAGCATCAAGCACATCACTGAACAGATGATTGGTGACAGAAGCCAAGCTGAGATGTCCCAAAGCCATGCCAGTGCAGGTAATCCTCAACTTATGACCACAATTCGGACCAGAATTTCCATTGCTAATCAAAGTTGTTGATAAGTGAGTCACACACCCAATTTTACCACCATTTTTGTCACGTATGTTAAGCTAATCACTGCAATTCTTAACTGATTCAGGTGGTCATTAAGTGAATCTGGTTTACCTCATTGACTTCACTTGTTGGAAGCAAGTGGGAGGATTGCAAATGACCCTGAGACATTGAAAATACATGCTGGTTGCCAAATGCCCCAATTTTGTTGAATAGAATAGAATAGAATAGAATAGAATAGAACAGAATAGAACAGAATAGAACGGGATAAGGGATAAGGGATAAGGGATAAGGGAATAGAATAGAATAGAATAGAATAGAATAGAATAGAATAGAATAGAATAGAATAGGTCGGAAGGGACCTTGGAGGTCTTCTAGTCCAATCCCCTGCTTAGGCAGGAAACTCTATACCATTTCAGACAGATTGGAGCAGTTGTTAACTCACTTTTTCAGTGCCGTTGTAATTTCAAAACAACCAGTTGCTATACAAATGTTTGTAAGCTGAGAACTTTCTGTACTTTTTTGGTGCAAAGCTCAGGGCATAACGGACATTTCCTGGAGGAAGTGAGCACAGATCCTGTATTCCCAATATGACATTTCCTGACCCAGATATATATTTTTATTTTTAATATAATAATTCCCTTTTCAGTTGAACAGTGTGTTGTCTGGGGACAAGTATCTTTGTTCAACAGTAATCAAAATTTGCAACATCACTCATTACATTCGTATTAATTCTACAATATTAAAGTAGTAATATTCAACATACTTATCCTAGTATTTGCTTATCTCTTTTAACATATCTTCATTATTTTGTTTGCCTGTTTCTAATTTACTTTTTTGTTGTTTAACCATTGATTAAATAAATCCCATGTCATATAATATTCAGTTTGCTCTTTCTCCTTAATTGCAAGCGTTAGTCTGTTCATTTCTGCACATATAGGAATGTCTGTTCATTTCTGCACATGTAGGAATCTCTTCACTCTTCCAGCTGACCCAAATATTATTGTGTGTTGCCAGAACCACTGGTCAGAGACTTAACTAGGATAGTGGCACAATGCATTTAAGAGAATTGTGTGAATAGGGTTAAAGCTATTTAATCCTAAAAAGGCAGGGACAAGCTCAGAAATCATGGTTAAATCCAGCTTCATCATACCTGCCCCATTGGTTCTGAACCATAATTCCTTCCTTCCCTCACTGTCTTCCTTCCTTCCTTCCTTCCTTCCTTCCTTCCTTCCTTCCTTCCTTCCTTCCTTCCT